GCTCTCCTCAGCAGTGTGCTTAACGGATTGCCTGTTCTGCTCCCCATTCCCTCTGGTGGGCCCCCCCACCTCTGGCTTATACCCCAGTTCTTATATGAATAAATAAACAATCTTTAAAAAAAAAGAATAAGAGAGTAATATAAGTACTGAATCATTGCCTTGAAAAGATAATTGCAATTATAAGTATGCATGCTGAGAAAAATTAGCAAAGCCATTCAATTATTTAGTCTCACAAACACTTTGAAAATCTTTGAAAATTGGTGAGGTATTCATCATTTTTCTTTAGCAGAAAAAAGGCCTATGTAATTTAGTTAATTACTAACATTACAAATTGAATGAAACATTTTTTAAATATGATATCCAAACGTGAAATTATTTTCAAAGCTTTTTCTAAGAATGATTTAGGATTATGAAGGTGTGACTGTCATGGGTCAGTTCTGTTAATGATTGTCAACTGAGATTTTTAATTGCTTGGGAATGTTATAAACAGCTTTACCTTGCTCAGTTGCAATTTACACACATTAGTAAAAGTCATATATTGTAGCATAGAAAAATACTGGCCCATAAATTTGATAGTTGCAAATTCTACAGAAGTTTTATTTTTATCTCTAAGTGAAAACTAATATATACAGTATTGGAATACAGTAGCAACAAATAAGAAAGCCGTCTTTCAGTTACATATAATATGTACACACAGAGCATGTAGAATCAATCACCCATAGAAGCCTACAGAAATAACACAGAAAGGGGGCGTTAAAGATGTAGCTATGTCAATAAAAAAGAGAATATCAGAACTAGGAGTCAGTCTTTAAGGTTGAAAATCTGATGAATGTGAGTTTCAGACAACGGGTACAGTTAAAACAGAGTAGAATAAATGATAATACAATAATTTTTTTCTAGAATTGAACAACAGAAATCTCCAGATAAAAAGTTGCCAAGTGAGCACTAGTCCAGTGAGTAGAAAGATTGATGTGCACCAGGAAACAGTATTGTGAAATTTTAGAACACCACTAATAAAGAAAATACGTACACACATCCAGGGGAAAAAAAAAAAAAGCAAGCAAGAGAAAGTGATATGTACACATAGGGACGAAGAGAGGAATGGAGAGGCAGGAAGAAAGAAGAAGAAAGGGAGTTAGATTTGTTGCAGCTTATAAAGTAGGTTGCTATTCAGTATTCAGATTGGATTTATTCAATTTTAAGTAAAGACTTACAAGAGTCTATAAGCCATAAACTATAACATGAAAAGGTGTAGACCCTGAAATAGTCTTTATATACCATGTAATGTAGGAAATACCTTTGTTACATACCAAACTGTTTCACCGGCTTCTTCATATAAACAGTCTATCAAAGTAATCAAAGCAAATCTAATAGTTCAAGTAATAAGTGAACTGTTAGAATATAAACTGATGAACTAAGCAATTATTAGTCCTATGATACATATATTATAGCCAAAAAAATACTGGATTGTGGACTAAAGGAGTTTTTCACAGTAGCCCCTATTAATAGAAGGTTTTGTGTAGTAGTCAATGTTGTAGCAACTTTTTTATTTTATTAGATATATGTCCAAGTTTGCATAATATTTTTTCAGAAGATATTTTGGAGGATTTGTGATTACAGAGAAAGTTATCTAATTTCTGACTAAGAATGTGATCTTGCTATTTATGCCTGATACTTTCAGTGCTTTGAGAACAGAAGAGAGATAAGACATATCCAGATTAGGATTTATGTTCTCTCTCTCTTTTTTTTTTTTTCTCCAAATAATTCCCTCAATGTTCCTTGACTACCTCAATAAAATATACCTGAACTTTCAATGTAATTTAAATGTTAGATGCTTGAGAATATAATGCTTTGTGAGACTCAAAAAATAACATTTTCTTAATAGTTGTGACTTTCTTCCATGATAGATTTCCATATTTTCACATAAAAGTATGTAGAAATAATTGCATGTTAAAAACTTTTGTTTTCTGTTCAAACAAATGTTTGGATTTGGCTAAGCAGCTATCTCCATCCTTATTAGTAGTTACCCATTTGTATATAGGTATCTGTTTTGGTATAATGAATCTCAAATGCACAAATCTTGATAAATAACCCCATGAGATTAAATAACCAATGCTTGCTTTAGTTGTGACAAATTATAGGGTTGTTTTGATTTCTGCGAATAGTTTCTCCATGATTTTGGATTTGTTTCTTGCTTAGCAAGACTTCAAGTTTTACTAGCTTATGATATTTGGGCCTTTACATACATTTCTCAATTTGATTTACTAATATACTCAAGGTCGGGGTACGTGTAATCATAAATGGAATTGCTTCATTTATTGTCTTTTTGTTGTTTTTCTGACTTAGATTACAGTAGACCCAGAAATTGAGTTGGCAAGTATTCTATCATTAAAAGATTCTAGAACAGTATTATGGGAGAAAATATTCTGCCTTCCTTGGCGATTTAGATCAATCACACCACCTTTCTGAATCTGAACCTTTTGGTGGAGAAATTATGCAGTTGCTCTTAACAGAAACTTTAGGGAAATTACAGTGGAGAAAGGGTAGTTGACTTGATGTCAGAAAAACAAAGCTGGACCATTTGTGAATGCTTGATATATAATTAGTTGCTTTTTTTTTTTATTGTTCATATTCATTTCCCATGACTAGAATGTAAGCTTTTTGAATACTTTGTTCACTGATATAATTTAAGCACTGAGAATATCATTGAAAGTCCATAATAATATATTCAGTAAATTTTGTCCATTCAATAAAGGAATGAAATATTAAAAGTGATTTTATTTTTGTCATGAATGGTTGTTTCTTTTGGGAGATGAAAAATTCTAGGTATAGGGTACCTATCAGAATATTATACTTTACTTGAGGTAGAAAATACATATATATATATATAAGAATATATACAGATACTTTTGTTTCTTAGAAAGTTTGTGCACTCATTGTTTTCTCCATTTGATTTTACAACTTCATTTATTTAAAAACCATGCTGCTGTCTTATTAGGTTTGTTTTTGTAATCTATAACAGAAGTAGGGAGATGGAAGATAAAGTGAAAGAATTCACATTTCTTTGTAGTAACTGTTCATATGTTATTTTCAAAATTATGTATGTTATGAAATTAGCTTTTCCCATCCTATCTGTAGATATACTAAGCTTTCTAAAAAAATAAGTCTAAAAGGTAAAAATAGATGTTCTGCAATTGGAGAAAATACATTCAGTTCCAAAGTGTAATAAATCAGCTAGTAAACTTCCTCAGATAAAAAAAAAAAAAAAGAGCATGTTTATTACTTAACTAATATAGTTGTGAATTAAAGGGAAACAAGAGCTTGGTTTTGTTTTTGATATTGTAGTAAAAATAAAAATAGTTTTTGAGTTGTTGCTGTTGATCCTACAAATAGTTATGCTCTCTTTTGCCTTGAATTCTTTATGCTTTGTTTCTTCTTTTGAAATTGAGGCATCCTCTTAGGCCCCTGTCCCCTGTCCTACCCCCTTATATAGGCACAGTCATGTTTCCAGTTTCACTACTTTTTGAAGATCTTTCTGTCTACTGTTCTGCTTTCCCCAGCCTTTGGTAGAGCTCTATTTCAGCAATGATAGCATTTATTCTGGTTTTAGTTGCTTCCATTTTTCTCTTAGTGCTTTTGTAAACTCTATCACAGATACAGATTTACTATTTAGTCATTGACTTATAGCCCGTAATGACTTAAATATATAGTGGCAATTGAGGTGTATTTTAAACAAGCAAACAGGTTATTTTTCCCGTGATTGACTTTTTTGGGCATGAACCTACTTCATTGGGGGCACAAGATGTAGTATTCAAAGTTTAAATTCTTCTATTAGTTGTTGGACTCATTTCTCAAGTCTTGAATTTTAAAAGGGGGAAGGAATGGAGACTAAAGTAATGTAGACAATAAGTGTAGAGAAGGAAAATTGATGAAAAGAACTATGAGAAACTCATTATTTTGCATATCGAATTACCTCTTTATTAGAAGTGAAGTAAGTCAGAATACCTCATTCAAACCTTCTCATATAAATTTGTTTCTGAGTTACAAAATAGGAACAAATATGACAGTTTTCTGTTTAGTACTTTTTTTTTAAAGATTTATTTATTCATACAGAACTGGGGTACAGGCCAGAGGTGCGGAGGGTGAGAGGATTCACCAGGGACAGAGTGGGGAGCAGAACAGGCAGATCACTGCTGAGAGGAGCAGCGGGAGGGTCAGGAGAGGTCTGCCATGCCATCTGATCACCTCCGGGGCAGGCGGGATCGAACTCATGCGAAAGTGGCTTAAGCTTCTTAGTTCAGTGCTTTAACCCACTGCACCACCAGGGAGGGCCCTGTTTAGTACTTTTTAAACAACATTAACTTGGGTGCTTTACTTTTCCCGTAAGAAATCTATGGTCATCTTTTGACCTAGTTTTCTTAAGAGTGAGGTTGCTAATTAAAGAAGATATTGAAAAAGTGAGACTCTGTAGTGCTCATATTACTCATTGCAAACCTCAGGTGAGTCAAGACAAGAGCTGTATCCATGTACATTGCTGATAACCACAAATTAGCACATCTGGAGTATCTCATCTTTCTCCTTTGTCTTCATGACTGACTTAATGTGTACCCCTTTCTTTCATAGAAAGATTCTATGAAAATATAGATTCAAAGTGTTAACAGAAGTAAAATCAAAACTGATCCAATCAAAGTAATTTACAGGAAATGCTTACTTGACATCTCTTAATGAAAAGAGATTATTATTTTAGGGTAGGTGCATTTCAGGTGAACTGGAAATTAAACTTCTGTTACAAATTCATGACTGTTGGATTAATGAGCTTTAATATCTAAATATAACTCCATTTTTTAAACATGGAATGAGTTCAAAACTACTTTAGGAAATGTTTCTGAAGCTGTTATTGGATTCTGGGAATAGAGGGTGGAGTTGGCTTTAGAGAGATGAGAGTCATGTTATAAAAAGGACTTTTAAAAACAAATGTGTGACTTAAGCGTGTGTAACTTCAGAAGATAGAACTGCCAACGAGTAGAAAAGCAAGATGAATGATGTGAAGCTTGCTGTCTTGGGTGCTGAAGGGACAGGCAAATCTGGTGAGTGGTCAGTGATACTACCATGGTAAAAGTATAGACTGCAAAACCTGTGAGAAATATGTTAAATATATCTGTAAATATGTGTAGTAACATATGTTAGATCTATATTAACTCATGCTAATTTTCAGTAGGAGTTTTCATATTTATAAGTAATTAAAATACTTACAGACTGTATAGCAGGCATACCAAGACAAGTGTTAATTTTTTATCTTGTTCTATTGATACTTAAAATCTATAGGAATTCTACCTACTTCTCATGATAATACCTCTGCCCTCACACCTACCAGTTGCCTCATAATGACCATCAAAAGATTCTTCTGTCCTGAGATGAAGTTAAGACCTATGGGTTAGTTTTGTAAATGAAGCATTACTAACAAAGAACTTGGAGGAGCATTGCTTTGTAAGATGACTGGAAACTGAGTGGCAGATGCCGTGACTTTAACAGCAATATTTTAGTAGTTTTATTTAATTTTGGTTTGGGTCACATTACTCTAGTGATAAAGATGCCACAAGTAGCCACCTGAAACTGATGAACCAGAACCAGTCAGATCCAGGAACTGCAATAAGATAAACTGATACTAGAGGTCCATTTCCTTTTTCCTGGATTTTGAAGTCCTATATCCTTGAACAACTGCAAATGCTGATGTCTTTAACATAATTAGCATATAGTGCCTTGAAACCAGATTAGATTTGATAAAGAAAATAAGGAGATGTTACAGTTCTTGCATCTCAATGAGAAATCCCTTCCTACTACAAAAGGTAAGTTGCCTGATGTATTTGCATTCATGAATTAATTACATTATGATTTGACCAGGCAGCATGCCTAAGATCATTTTCTCTCTAGCCTCCTAATCTTTATGACTGCAGTGAAAATCTTGCTGACTCTTATTTAGAGCAGAATTGAGTAAAGTTTTAAAGTCCTCTTTAATGCTGGGTAATTTTTTGAGCTGTAGGATAAAACCTTGCCCGTGTCCTAACTAATTATCTGTATCCTAACAGAAAAGACCCTAAGTCCACTTCTTTACTTTGCAGCCCTTATAGTGAGGTTTTTTACCAAGCGATTCATTGGAGAATATGCTTCTAATTTTGGTAAGTCACTACTCTAGACTTTCTTCACCTTAAAACATCAGCAGCACAATTAAATAACAATTAAGATCAGTGAGGCAGCATTTTAATCAAATCTTTCCCTTTGTGTACTTGTTAGCAACTTTTTTTGTTCACAGATTCTGGTTAGAGATTCCAAAATAAATACTTGAATTGATTGCTTTTTATAAAATTCATCCAATTTTATTTTAATAAAAACAAATTAGAAAATCAGTTGTTTTCCCAGTTAGCAGAAAAACATTCAAACTGGGGTGTTCCCCCTCCTCAAATATTATAAAGTTGTGAGTACTATTATTGGAGACTAATAAGTTTGAAATTAAATCAACATCTGCTGAAAGGTAAGGACAAATTATAAAAGCACAATTTACTACAAAATAAAGCTTATTTTTTGTTACAAAACTTGTGAAAAGAACAGGAAAATTAGGCTTTGATCAAAGATCATTTCATAATTATCTCTAGATTGCTTATGTAAGTTTCAGAGAAATTGTAAAACAGATGCCAGGGCATGTTGATTAAATCTTCAAATCCTTTCCCTAACTCTACTATATGTTTCTGTTATTTTGATCAGTATTAACATGACATATGGCAAATACATGACATTAAAAAGTGGGTAATTTTGCCAGAGTTTTGAGTATATTTTTGGCTCAGCAATAAATAAATGTTTTGGGACTAATATCCTACCTGATTGGAGGCATGGAGAAGAAAAGTTTTCTTTTTTAATTAAAAACAACAGACTTATAGGAAATATATATAAGGTTTGGGAGGAAGGGAAATCATCTTTTTCTGTAATATTTATTCAGAATAAGCAGTAGTTACAATTATTATTACTATTACTATTATTATCATTATCATTATCATTATTTACCATGGGACATAAATAACAACAAAAATTTCTTGAGCACTCATGAGAGTATTTCAGAAAATATTGCTGAAACGTTGTCCAATACTGTGCCCTACATGTGCGTAACAACATTACAGCCCGTTTGGTATTGTGACTATTTTGGGAGTGCTGATTATATAAAAAGGAAAGACAGATTCCTATTGTTTCATTTCTAGGTCACTATAATCTTTGTCAAAAACCTTGAAATAACACACAAACTGAGTCAGTCATGGGAAGTTCCAAAACTAAAAAGCAAAATAAAGCAACTTGAAAAAATATTAATACCCACAACAAAATCACCTTAATTTTTTTTATAAAATTTCTTTTTAATAGAGATGTGAAAGGCAAAAATATGTAAACATTTCATTATCAGACTTGAGATATTTCAAAAAGATAAGCCAATGACAAGAAGTTTACCACTGTGTGAAGACAGTCTAGCAAAATAAATGACACCATGAATGATGGGGAAATGATTGAATTCTAAAATGTTAAGAGTTAGTGACCCCTGTTGGCAGTTTTTGAGATTTGCACATGGATGTTTCATGAATGTCTGATATATCCGCTATCATGAGGAATAGAGCATTTGTCAAAATAAGTAATGATATTATGTCTGATGTTATTTTGTATAGAATAAATTATTTTGTCTAAAGAATTGGATAATAATAACAGAACAATTAATTAGTTAATTCAGCAAATACTTACTGAGTACCTACTGTGTGTCAGGTAGAGAGGTAGACAGATAAAGCAGTAAATCAGGAAGATATAAATATATCCAATCCTCATACATTTTACAATCTAGAAGGAAGTCAATCATAAATACATTATGTTCTATAATGGCACATGTTATAAGGAAAAAAAAAACTACCATGGGATATTGGCACTATTAATATATATGGACATTTAAAATCAGGTAGGTAGACTGAGGAGGTGACATCTGGATGGAGATATGAGGTGGTGAAGACTAAATCAAAAGCTATCTGAGGGGTTTACATTCCAGGTAGAAGAAATAATTGCCCAAGTTTTGAGAGAGGAACTTTCTGAGAATTTTGAGAAATGTTATAGAAGACCGTGTAGTTTAAATGGATAGAATCTCAGAGGCCGTAGCTGGAAAAGGTTGCCTGTGGTCTTAGATACAGTGGTGGACTAGATGATGAAGGACATTCTCAGGCACTTCATAGACTTTGGATTATCCTGGTGAGAGGGGAAAGCCACTTTTGCTTTCATGTTGAGAAAATATAAGGGAAGTAGGGGTGAAATAATGTGGAGATGATTTAAAAGTCCTTTTAATAACCGAGGTGAAAAATAATGATGGCTTGGACCAGGATGTTAGCAGTGAAGGTAATGAGAATGAGACAAATTCAAAATACCCTTAAAGGTTGAGGAAGAAGAATTAAAAAAAAAATTAGTAGGGGATGTAAGAAAAAGAAAGATTTAGATGACCTATTAAGATTGCTAATCTGAAAAACTGGAGTTAACGGATTTGCCTCTCAATGGAATGGAAAACTGTGAAAGATGCAGTCTTTGCATTGGGGTTCACTTTTAATTACGTTAAGGTTGAAATGTCTGTCAGGTATCTAAATGAAGACATCTAATAGCAAGTTACTTGTGTCTAGAGTTCTGGGAAGAGGTCTGGAATACATATACAAATTGGTTCATCAGTATTAGTCAGGATAGTGAAGGCTTCTGGCAGGATAGTGATCAGCAAGGTAGTGAGTGCTGCTAGAGAAGAGTACTTGAACTTTATTATGTTGGGAGCATGGGAAGCTCTAGTGGGGCAAATAAAAATAAAGATTAATATGAAACAACAGGAGGATAAAGGGGAAAAAAATGAGCATGTGAACTTGAAAGCCATGTGAAGGAACCTTGTGCAGAGTCAGCGACTAATGACATTAATGCTGATAAGGCAGTTACCAAGACACAGAACAGATCCTTGAGTCTGAAAACACAATCTTAGTGAGACCAGTTTTAGTCAAGTTATTGTACTTAAAGCCTGATTGTTATAATCTAAAGTCCCGTGGGGTGAGAGAGTAAGGACACACAATGTATATAGTTCCCATAAGACTAACAGAAAAGTAGGGGAAATGTTGAGATGGTAGAATCCAAAAGATAATTAAATTGGAAGAAATTCAGCTGTTAGTAATTATATAATAAAGAAAGATTTATGGTTCAGAGGAGAGAAGTAGCATTGGTGGGAAAGGTGAGAATCATCATTTCAGTAAGTGAGAGAAAATGGTAATTAGTTGATAGTGAATAGGTTGGCCTTAAGAGAGAGAGGCTGCATTCATCCATAGTACTAGGCTGGAAGGCAGCTATGCAAATACGAAAAAGCTATACAAATACAAAAAGCATTTAGGTAAATTTTATGGTGAAGTTCATTTGTAAGAAATATATATGACTAGTGTAACAGTATATCGTGTATGTTTTTCAACCACTAGTGATAAAGGAAAACCATTGTACCATTCCATTAAAATACCAATTTGCCAGACAGTAATCTAAATTTGAGTCCTTTTTAAAAAATATGCATATTTTTCAGAATCAATCTATAATAAGCATTTGTATCTGGAAGGAAAGCAGCTGAATCTGGAAATATATGACTCTTGCTCTCAAGTAAGTAAAGCAAAATACTATCTTATTTTTTTCACTCGTGATTTGAAGAAAATTTGTTAGGTGTTAAAAATGAAGTTTCTCCTAAATTTTAATTATATAAATTTTAAGAGCTTATTTTTAAGTGTTGTAAAATGAAGTTTCATAATTTTTTAAAATATCAACAATAAGCTATAATCATTATATGGTTCTGTTAGATTACAGTATAACTGTCATAAGTTAGTAGTTGAATGGCTTATCAGTTCAGTTTATATTTTATTTTTACAAGTTGTATTTGTGACTAACCACTGTCGACAAAGGGTAGAGTACATTTTAAGTACAGATTCCTTTTTTTTTACTCAATTACAGGAACTAAAATAGGATGATAAAAATAAGGAATTACCAATTGTTTAAAAGAACTCGATGTGACAGATTCTTTTAAAAAATTAAAATATCCCTTAAATCTTTTAAGCTAAACCATGTTTTTTTTTTTTTTAAACTGGCCTAAATTTAATACCAGAACCAATAGACATTCCATTACTAATATAGACAGATAATATTGTAACTTTCAAAGGAAATGTGTGTATATTAATTCAAAAGGAAATTATCATAAATCTACTAATGTTTAAAAAGGATAGCATTTCTTTAGAGAGAAGTTATAAAATGCAATATATGTAAGTTTACTATAGTTCCTGTTTATTCTAAAAATGTAATCACTTAACAAAGAGGGTAAGAAGGAAGAGAGACAAATAAATACATTTTTGTCAACATCAGTATTTGGCTTATTGAAATCTCTTCCATGTGATATTGGTTTCCATTATTTGTCTAAAGTGTAAAATACAGGAGTCAGATCCTACTATTTTCAATGTGCTTGCTTTATTTTCAGCCACAGAAAGCAAAATTTTCCCTCACAAGTGAACTGCACTGGGCGGATGGGTTTATTATTGTGTATGACATCAGTGACAGGTCTTCATTTGCTTTTGCAAAAGCACTGATCTACAGAATCAGAGAGCCACAAAGTAGTCATTGTAAAAGGTGAGATGCTTACCATTCTTCTCCTCTTTGTCTTTAGTAAATCATCATGTAGCTGTAAGCATCATTAGGAAGAGTTTAATACAGACTTCCAATTACAAAATTTAACAGCCCTGAACAATTCACCTTCCATTCCACAGGAGTTACACATGTAGTAAAAGGAGTAAGATGAGAATACTTTATATCCTGAGTGACATAAACAGTCACTTGCCCTGCGTAAATGGCTATTTTATAAGACAGCTTCTATTGTTAACATGACACTCACTAGCAAAATAATGGTCCTCTGTACATAAGATAGTTGACTTTCTGACCTTTCCTTTTCATTCCCTCAAAAATGTTAAGATTTATGACATTTGGCATCCAGTTCCTAGCTGAGTTATTCAGTCTATCAAAGGAAAATAGACTTAATTCTAAATGTGAAAATACAGTTTTCTCCATTTCATTTCCTTAAATAGCAGATCCACAATTTCTTATTGTTAATTACCTTCAGACCAGTAAATATAAAGGAAGACATATCTGTGCCTTAAACCATTCTGGCACTCAGATATGTTTAAACATAGGAATTTCCCATTTTAGGTTTGTTTATTGTTTTAGTTTTTTCCATTTGAATATTTAATTTTCTTCAACAGGCTGATGGAAAGGCTTCTTTTTTCTCTTCAGCAGTTTTGCTGTTACAGTCTAAAATACATTCTACTTTAGAAAGCAAAAAGCACATTGTTATTACTGAAAATTGGCATGTGTGCTTTTTATATTGATTTTAAATGTCTACTATCGGAAACCATCAGATAATAATTATTTCCCTAGAGACAGTTGATGTAATTTCCTGTTTATATCTGATTGACCTTAGGTAAACTTCTTTAATCTTCAGACCTCATTTTCTAATTATATATTGATGGAACCATGGAATCAGGAGAAAAGAATGTATATCTAATAAAGTACTATATAGTTATTGATTTTTTTAAAGAATAACAACCTTTCAATCATTAAATGCCTTGTAGTTAAATACTATGACCTAGGTAAGATACGTTATTAAAATTCCTTTGAAATTCTACCAAATTGAAAGAAGCACTTGAGAATACTTAAAAATTGAAAACAGTGGCCCTCCCTGGTAGTGCAACAGGTTAAAGTGCAGCACTATAAGCCAGTCACAGCCACCTAAGTGTGAGTTTGATTCTGGGCCCTGGAGGTGATCCACATGGTGTAGCAGACCTCTCCTGTCTCAACAGCTGCTCCCCTTAACAGTCTGCCTGTTCTGCTCCCCACTCTATCTCTAGTGAATCCTCTCACTGCCCCTGCACCTCTGGCCTGTACCCCAGTTCTGTATGCATGCATACATAATTTTTTTAAATTGATAAATTTTGGAATATTTCAGTTCGTAGTCTGTAGATAAACTAGGAAAGCAAAATACTGTTTAATAAAATCAAGTATTTGTGACTCAACCTTCAAATTATTTCACTTACCATTTCCAATTACCTTTTTCCAGCAATTTGGATGCTGTATAGAAAAAAAAAATTATTAGTGATATCATCAAAAGTGCAAAACATACAATGCTTTTCCCCCCTCCTGGTTCATGCTGCCATGTAGGTGAAACCACCTCTTACTGGAATTTGGGGACAGGATCCCTTTAGATGGAGTCTCAGACTGTGTTTCTACAACTATTTTTTTTTTTTCCCTCCAGTAGATATCCTGGCAGAATTCCATGCCATTTAAGAGATAGAGGTCTTACTATATTCTTCAAATGAAAGTTAGCTTTAAGGTGTTCACTATCACCAATATTTGGTATTTGCTGGAGATAGTACTAAATGTATTTTCTAAATAAGCAGAAAGATTGTACAAGGTCATGAGATTGTGATTTTTCTCCAGAACATATTTTAATGGATATTAACAAAGTATAGCAATGAGTATTGAGGAAAATTATATCTGTTTTACCGTTCATTTGCAGTAACTGTTGAGTAAAGAGACATTCATTATTTGTTGTCTTTCAAGCGCTAAAGAAGTGAAACATCATACTTAGTAAACATTCTTCATTACCAAGAATTAGGCTTGGTACTTTTATCTACATCATTTCATTTAATCTCTACGAGAATTCTGTGTGAGAAAATCTATTTTACCTTTTTTTCTCCCATATGTAAGTGGGAAAAATTATAATTATGCATTGCTAATAAAAGGAACTAGAATTCAAGGGTTGTGTCACTTCATATGCTATCCTTTAAGAACCTGGTTGCCTCTGTGTCATGCCATCAAAACTAAGTTTTCTAAGTAATGGGGTCATCTGCCATTGCATCCATAGGTGAACAAAATAACACACACTCAATATTTTTATTTCTCTTTTGCTTTATAGTTGTGGTCATATAAGCTTTATAATTTTAAAACAAATGTGTTAAAAAAATCTTTCCAAATAATTGTGAATCTGTATTTCAGAACTGTGGAATCAGCAGTGCTTTTGGTTGGCAATAAGCAAGATCTCTGTCACGTGAGAGAAGTTGGCTGGGAAGAAGGGCAGAAATTGGCCTGTGATTACCGATGCCAGTTCTCTGAACTGTCTGCAGCAGAACAGTCTCTAGAGGTAGAAATGATGTTTATCAGAGTTATCAAGGATATCCTGACAAACTTCAAACTCAAAGAGAAGAGAAGACCCAGTGGATCTAAATCAATGGCCAAATTGATCAATAATGTATTTGGAAAGCGAAGAAAATCTGTTTAGTAGACATATAATCCTAGGGGATTTATTATATCAGAGTTTCAAACATGCACATGATAATTACATTTACTCTTTGTATGAAATTTTATTTTTTTTTAAAAATCCTAATAGTGATATGAAGTGATTCATTCTGAACCACAGCTGTTTTTTCAAATACATAGTTTACCTTCTTGGTTGTTTATTTATTTTTTTTTTGTCTGTACACTCTACTACACACTTAGCCTATTCTTTATCACAAAAAGTGGCATTTGGTATAGCATATTGTTGGGTTGCTGCCCAGACTGACCTTGCCAAATAAATTCTGTTTATATAATTTAACTATTACTCCCTGGGCATCCATTTATTTTTAGTTTATATATTTCTTTTGGATGAAATATGTAATAGTAGCCATATAGAAAGTATATTGTTGCATTTATCAGTTTGTGAACATTCATGAGCTATGTAGTAGACATGCTTGGACTTAATGTTAAGCCTTTGCAATAATCCAGTAGGTTATTTGATATTACACAAATTTTACATATAGTAGTACAATAAATAGTTGGTGAATGATGAAAAAAGGTCTGCTTTTCCTTTTCTAGTAGGCTAAGAAGGATAATTAATATTAAGAAAGTAGTTTATATAGATTTATTGTTTAATATCAAGCTAAGTCTTTTTTAGTTCATAGAGAACTTATCTATTTCAGTAAAAAAACAAAAAACAAAAACAACAAAAAAACTGGTGGCAAATGTATAACCTGGACGGCATTATTGCCCTGAGAAAAATGCTATATTAAATAAAAAGTTTGGGCCTTCTCAGATTATTTTGAATACAGTTTCCATGAGGAGACTGCTGTGCACCTCCTAGATTTCAGCACCGCTGTGGCTGGCTTGCCTGAGCCTATTTCCTGCTATATTTCATGTTGCAGCCCTAGGCCAGACTTAGCCACATTATTGATCTCATTAGAGATCAGAGTAAACCTAGGAAAACAAGCATCATCGCACACTCATGCTTAACATGTATGGGCAAGAACCTACAAACCAAGGTGAAGGTGATCTTGGGTGGCAAATTAGAGTAGGGAGGGATGGCACGGGGCATTAGGCTGAATCGGAGAGAATTCTTTGACATGTGTTCCCAGAGTTGAGATTCAGCATCTTAGGAGCACAGTTGAGGGCTTGTCTATGTAGTCTTGCTATTCCTTAGAACTCTGACCTTGATGATGCCTTAGAGCAAGACTATTAATTGCAACATAATTTGTGTGGCACTATACAAAATATATGGATCATGACATTGAAAACAATGAGGAAGTTAGAATTGATATGTTATTTTGGACCCAAGAATCCTCATCGATTATGTTCTCTGTAAGGAATGTGGTTTGCTAAAGAAGTGAGGGGTGCCCTGGTGAGTAGGTACAGACAACTTTGAGGAAATAGTTGACTTTGTTTTATAGGTCACAATTAACAGTGGGGATGTTGCCATCAAATTAGCTCTTCAAAAGCACCGACTCAGGCAACTCCTCCCCACAAAAAAATGGTGCTATTTCCAGGGTAGAGGTTCTATGTCTGATTCTGACTATTCCAGACTTAGAAGTAACAAGCTTAATTGAAGCAAAATCCAAATTGCAGGCCCTTGCATTGTTTCTATCACTACCACTGTAGTCGCTGTTATCATAGTTCCATTCAAAAGCACAAAGGTAAACCAGAAAAGAGGTAAGGTGTTTCCTATAGGACAGGTCTAGATGATTATGAAATGACTATTTAATAGGTGCTCTGTGACGGGAATTACATAACACTCAAAGAACTGGGTGTTTTATGTTCTCCATTCTTCCCAGGTTTTACTCAGGTCCTTCTTTGACATTCATTTTCTGCTCTTAACTCTTATAGATCTCTGACCTATAGGAAAAAGCACTGCTTACTGTCCAGAAATTTGTGCATGCCGCTTTTCCTACTGTATCAGGTAGAAAGCAAAATGTATTTCTTGAAGTTCTAGCAAGTGGGATACTTTCTTCCTATTAATGAACTTTATGGTTATTCTGTGTAGAAACATAGTGGGCTACACTCTTGTCTCCTTTTGAGCAGTACTAGTCCATCATGCTTCAGTAAAAAAGTTTCCTGTTGACTAAGAACCCACAACTAATTTGAAGGTTAAATGGGAAAACTTTATTGCTTATTGCCATTCTAACAAATTTAGTGATAACACTTTTTTAGTCAATTACTTGTAGAGACTGTTCATCTATTGTTTCAATACTGATTTTAGTTGGTTTAAGTACTTGTAATTTAATTTTTTTTTAAATATTTTTCTGGATGATCATGCTTTCAGAGATTTTATCTTCAATCTTTGAAACTTTTTCCAACTGAAGATCTTTCAGAGGCTGTTTTGCATTAAAAGCAATGTATTTATCTATGTTATAATGATGAATCCTGCTGTCAAAATGGTGTAGAAATTCTGTTATAACTTAATCATGTGTATGTATCTGTGATAAGTCAGAGCTCAAAATTTCCCTGTTGAGGATACTACTTATGTTTGTGTATATTTAAAATTCGATTTGTGATGGTGATTTTTTCTCTTAGCAAGATGACTTGGGTGACATGGTTATATAAAGTCTGTGGACCATAATAAAAGGAGCAAGCATCCTCTCACAGAGATGTCTAGAAGAGGTGATAGGTATGTGAGTTAACGATTTTAGTAATTATTTCCCAAAATATATTCTTCTTTTACACATTATTTATATTGCGCTTTTGTCAATTATCCCTCAATAAAGCTGAGGTAAAGCCATTTTCACTTTAAAAAATATTTTTAAAGTTTCTGTGAGACTTGTTTTCCAGAGTGTCATTTTAAACAATCTGGGATTATTTTTCCCTTTTATCATGTGACAATTTAAAAACATGTTCATATATTTTTGACAAAAAATGTTGAGTCTGATTGTTCCTTCATTGTACTTGTTGATTCTCTTTTAATAAATGGAACGAAGTGGAAGAATGGGTAAGGACTTCTGAGGCCAGGTTACAAAACATGACTGGCGACAGCAGTGGGAGCCATGGGTCAGTGTTCCCGAGTCTGGCTGTCCTAGGCCCCAGGTTGGAGAGCCACATGGTATTTGGGATCACGCAGCCAACAGACAGATGTCTCAAGCTCCCAGCCTCTAACTTTTGGACTACTGAGTTCCTCTGGTAAGCTTGCCTCAGTTGCAGATTTGTAAGCATAAGTGTTGCTGTTGTTTTGAAGTTTGCCTACCATTATGTTTCAGCTTGTTACATGGCAGTAGATCACCAGAGCATTGAATTCACGAAAGCTTTCAGTATGTCAGTCAATGTGAAATATTTGGCTTTTTTAATTGGAGAAAAACAGGATAAAATAGGATTTTTTTTTCTGAACAAATTCAAAATTGTTAGAACAAGTTGTTGGTGTCAGTTTTCTTGTGAATATAATTCATAGGTGAAGCAACTTGCACTAACCCAAAAAGTAATAAATCGTCATTTTCCAAAGTAAGAAAAAAATACATCTGTTTATAGAGAAACAAATATATCAATATTAGACCAGAGAATGTTGCAGGTTGAAGATAGCAAGTGTGTCTATAAATCTCAGAGATACTTCAGCTATATCACCAGGCTAGAATTGCCTATCTGCTTCTGGTGAAAGCATGCTGTCATTCACCGTGGATGAGCTTCATTGAGATAACACGTAACAAGGGGCAATAGCTGAGAAAGGATGCCAATGGGGAGGGGCCTTTAAAGTCGTTTTGATTTAATACAAGGCATGCACTATTAATAAAGAGGGTGAATGATACCTGTATGTTTTATAGGTTTATAAATTGGCTGTAGTAAAATATTTTACATCTTAGATCACTAGGTATTGTTTCAGCTTATTATGGGAGATATCTATCTAGAGTTGACTGAATTGTATTAATCTGAACCTAGTTTAATGATGCCTTAACATTTTTATGGGAGAATTTAATGTTTGCAATATCCATGTTCCTTATTTGAAAGCGTGACTTATAGGTTTCTCATCTTCCTTAAATTATGAAATCCTTCAGCTAATAAAGGAAAATGATTTTAGTTTGCAAAAAAGGCAAAGTCATTTAACAATCCATATAACTGTCTATTGTAGGACTTTGCATAATAATTGTAATTTAGCTATTAGAGATTCTAAAGGCAGTTATCAGTCATATCCCACAATTCGGGGGGAATCAGGCAAAGTCCAGATTATTTAAAGTATTTTAAATTCCTAAAGAAAAAAAGAGACACACTGTAAATTGGAAATGTACTGTACAGTGACAAGATACTATTTCAAAGCAAAAAAAGAATGCTCTCATAATTTTCAAATATATAAACCACCAAACAGATTATTTTACTTCCTTTTGGATATAGATATAATGTACACTTATTTTCAATAATGAAAATATAAATTATTCTAAAAATGGAAATTAGCAGACTGTAAAATGCCCTTTGCAATATGGAATTTGACAGCAACATTTTAGTAATCCTGGAACAAAGAAGACAAAAAGAATTAAGAAAAAAAAAGAATGAAAATTGCAGAAAAATAATGATGGACTTAGTTTTCATTATCTGAAAAGATGACCATGGTTACCTCTCTCATTTTCAAATGATTTTATAGAACTCAAGATGAGTACTTAACAACTAGATACATGGAATACTCAAAACACAAATGAAACTGGCATTTTCTCAAGTTATAGATTTGCTTTCAGCTAATAGTTGGAATTGCAAATTTTGAGGGTAATTTTATTGCAAGCACATCTGGCTGTTAAAATTCTTGGATTGAGCTGGAGGTAAAATGTATAATTTACAATAACAACATTTTTTTTTCATTTTATTTATATTTTACATCATTCTTCCTTTCTGTACGATGTATGCTTTCTCCCCTTGGGTATAGTTCCTGTAAAATTCCCACCGCCAGCTCACCAGTGCACCATCACTGTAGTCCCATTTGCTCATTCCTTTATTTTGACCCCTCCCCAACCCCTCCCCTACATTTAAAAAAATAATTCCTTGACTTAGATCAGAAGATTTTGGGACCTTAAGTAAGTGAAGACTGCATTCTACTTAGA